CAAAATAACAGTACTTTGCACATCTACAGCATTTGCCATCTGAGGCTGTCAAAGAGCTTTTCAAATATTAACAAATTAAACCTCAGAGCAACCCACTGAGGCAGGTTTCCTGAATTTACAGATGAGGAAACGAAAAGCAGAGACTTTGGCTAAGATCATTTAAATGTCTGTGACATAGTTGGGAACAGAATCCATCTCTCCTGATTTTCACACTCAGCCTTATGCACAAGAGCATTTTGTCTCCCACAAAGATTTGCCTGTCCTGAGCTGGATTCAGAAGAGGAGCAAAAAGGTCAAAAGTTAAAGAGGGTCTATGAGTTTTCTGGACAAGACGATGTGTGCTCCCCACAAAGAAAAAGTACTATAAATAGCCACAGTAATCCTTTGTAAAGAAATGTGTTTCCTTTCAGATTTCCATGAGTCCCCTCTACTGTTTATTAGTTATTAAATTATTACTTGCTAAGCGTCCTCCACACAGTCAACATTTTAGTTAATCCTCCACTGTTGAGGACAGCATTAAATGCAGTCTATATTTTTCTACCTCATTTTACAGTTGTTAGATTGTTTTTACGTGTTTTATTTTGTTATTTAGATCTGGAGGTTAGGCTCAGTTGAGTTATCAGTGGGATGGGACAGGACTGTGGGCTGGGCAGGGGACAGGGACAAAGATGAGTTCCCATGTTCTTAAGCTGTGATCAGGGCTAGTCCTAGGCCCACGTTGGGATTGGAGAGGGACCAGATGAGGGATGGGGCCATGGTGGGCCTAGGTTCAAATCAGGGCTGGCGATGGCCCATGGGCCAGTTAGCATGAGATCTCAGGGCCAGTTAGATGGCCTAAATAAAAGCAGGGATTTAGGTTATCTGGGAGGCCACACTGGGGATGGCTCAGTACACACGTTAAGGTTAAATTTGAGCGTGACCTGATAAGCCCTAGCTAACATTACGTTTGGTGCCAGCACCATGGCCTGGGCTAGGCTCAGAGTGAACACTGGCTAGTAGCTCCAGGCTGGGTGCAGCCTGCTACATTGAAGTCAGGGTTAGGTAAACCCAGTGGGCCCTGGTTACGGTTAAGGTTGATGCAGGCAAGTGGGAACAAGACTAGTTTGGGGTGGGCCAATGGTCCCAAAGTCGGATCCAGGCTTAGTACTTATTGGTGGGCCCATGTTAGGTTAAGGTCGATGCTAATTTGTGGACCTCGACTAGAGTTTTGTTTATTACCAGTTTGTGGAGCTGGGCTAGGGTTAAACACACTAAATATCTCAGAGCCTTTTGGATTTTTAGTCTGTAGCTGCTGTTGTGAAAGTGGAATTTCCTGTATTTTGTCTTTGAAATATACCAGATTCCTGAATGCTTTGCTGCCATGGAAATAGATGGTGAAAGGCCTAAAATAGAACAGGCATCTCTAAAACAACAATTGTTTCACAAACTCCATCCTCTTCCTCACTAAGAAAAGCAGGTTTTGTGTAAACGATACTTAAAACAACCAACCTTGTTTTCATCACTTCAACATTCATTAAATACTTGATAACACTTAGCTCTCTCTGGTGTGTTACATATTCAAAGTTCTGTACAAACATTAATTAATCTAATTAAACTAAATTGAAATTTAATTATATTAGACTGATTTCTATGAAAGCCATAGCTACCTCCAAAACTAGCAGAAACCTTGTCAATATTATATATTACCTCAAATTACTATTTTGACTACTGTAAATCTTATGGGGATTTTTATTTGACTTTACATTTTTTTAAGAGAAAAAAAATATCAAGTCTGATCCTTAGCTGATGTAAATCAGTGCAGCTCCAGAGAAGACAACAAAGCTATGTCAGTTTATGTTAGCTGAGTATCTGATCTATTTTGTTGACTTCCAACCCTGAGACAGAGTGCAAGAAATGCTAATTTCCCCAACTACAGCGTGACCTTGCACTCCACATGTTTTATGGAAATATGCTTATGAATGTAAACACAATGTAACTGGAATATGCTTTATGCAAAAGGTCTCTTGTAAGGTATCATTACAAAGCTTATAATCTACTGAGTGTGTTCATCCTATTTGCATGAATGTATCATTCTTGTATCTGAAGCTAGAAATATGAAGTATTACGCTGAAGTCCTATTGTAACTATGCAAAGTGTGGGCCATTAATGGTGGCTTGGAATCTTGATGGCTCCCATTAACTTGGACAATTGGTTGTAAATGGCTCTGTTTACTTGTAGCCTTCCTGTGTGTCAGCCCAGGAAGAATAGAGGCTTGGAGTCTCACAGGGCATGTGAACATGTCACATGATACTGAAATCCATCTTAAACCTGGTGCTTTTCCATTTAGAAGGGTGGGAACCCAGAGAGAGACAAAGGATTCCTGTCTTGTGCCAAAGATATAAAAGGGGGTGGAACAGAACAAAGGGGGCTGCAGTCATGAGAAAACCCCTAGTTACCACCTGAGCTGGAACTAATAAGAACTGTACCAGAGAAAGGATTGGGCCCAGACTAAGACGGAGTCTAGTCTGTGAAAGAAGCTTATTGGAACATCTCTGAGGATGAGATTTACCTGTATTCAGTTTCTTAAATGTATTAGGCTTAGACTTGCATGTTTTGTTTTATTTTGCTTAGTAACTTACTTTGTTCTGTCTATTATTACTTGAAATCACTTAAATTTTTATACTTAAAAAAGCAGGGTTCTGGAGACCCAAGCTGGCAGTGGAAAACAGGCTCAGAGGTAATTCCAGCACGTCAGTTGACAGTCCCAAGGAGGTCTCTGTGACCGAACCTGTCACATATAGCCTATGCATTATAGAATCCAAATACTCCTTTTATTACATTTGCAAAATTAGTTGCCTATGCTGCATGTACACAGTATATGTGTGTTGTAGCAGATAACTGTATAATGTAAATGGCTAAATGAACATGCAGTAATCCATTTTGCACAGGAAACTGTTTTGCATGCATAATTACCTGTTTGCACCGATGTGCTCAACTCCCAATGAAGCTCACAGGAAGCACGCAAAATGTTTAAGGATTAGGACCATATTTTGCATACACAATTAATTACTTTTGAAAATTTAGACCTCAATCCAGTAAATATCTAGAGATGAGTAACTTCATGCATGTGAATAGTCCCACTGCACTGACATGGGATTACTTACATGGCGAGGTTACTCATCTTGTGCAGTAACTGGAGTTCTTTGAGATGTGTATCCCCATGGGTGCTCCACTTCAGGTGTGCTAACGCCCCTTGCACCTTTAATTGGAGATTTTTGGTAGTAGTGCCCATTCAGCCCACACATGCATCTTAAGCTTCCTCATGTCTCACTGCAAAGCTATATAGGGCTGTGCAGGAAAACAGTCCTTAGTTCCTTATGTACCATGAAGTCCCCAGAGGAAACTCCAAAGCAGAGGGGAAGGAGGGCGAGTAGTGGAGTACCCATAGGGGGACACATCTCACAGAACTCCAGTTATTGCATAAGGTGAGTAACCTCTTCTTCCTTGAGTAGTGTCCCTATAAGTGCTCCACTTCTGGTGACTACCAGCAGTAACCCCAGCTAGAGAAGGAGACTTTTGTGCCAAGTCCAAGATTGAAGACACCACAGCATTTCCAATTGCAGCATCTGATCATAAGGCTGGACCAGTGCATAATTCTTAGGAAAATTATGTACAGAAGACCAAGTGGCAGCTTTATACATTTCCAGAATAGGAACATTCTTGAAAAATGCCATAGAAGCAGACAGAGATCTCATGGAATGGGCCAACACCCTAGAAGGAGACTGTATCATATTGTGCTATAAATCTTTAGATATACAATCAGAAATCCACATGGAGCGTCTGTGGGTGGAAACTGCTGAATCTTCGGATCTATCCACAATAGTCACAAACAGTCTGGGTTACTTCCCAAATGACTTGATTCTTTCCAGATAAAAGGCTACTGCCCTCCTAATGTCCAAAGTGTGTAAAATGACCTCTTCGTTGGACCGATGAGGCTTAGGGGGGAAAAAACGGAAGGCGCATAATCTGGTTGATGTGAAATTCAGATGATATCCTGGGTACAAAATTTCGATGTGTACATAACAAAACCTTGTCCTTGAAAAATACTGTAAATGGAGGATCTGCCATTAGAGCCCCCTACTTCTCCAATTCTGCGAGCAAAGGTAATAGCCATCAAAAAGGCTGTCTTCAAAGATAAATTAATGAGGAAAGAGGTTTGGCTCAAAGGCATAAGGCAGGGGTCGGCAACCTTTCAAAAGTGTTGTGTCAAGTCTTCATTTATTCACTCTAATTTAAGGTTTCGTGTGCCAATAATACAGTTTAACGTTTTTAGAAGGTCTCTTTCTATAAGTCTAAAATATATAACTAAACTATTGTTGTATGTAAAGTAAATAAGGTTTTTAAAATGTTTAAGAAGCTTCATTTAAAATTAAATTAAAATGCAGATCCCCCCGGACCGGTGGCCAGGACTCGGGCAGTGTGAGTGCCACTGAAAATCAGCTTGTGTGCCGCCCTTGGTTTGCCACAGGTTGCCTAGCCCTGGCATAAGGCATCTAAATACTAAATTCAAATCCCAGATAGGAGTGAGTTCCCCAACTTGGGGGAAAACGTTTCTTTGTCCCCACAGAAATCTTATAGTTGTAGGATGGGTGTGTGACGGGTTCGATCACAGAAAACCCATTGGGAACTGCCAACTGATGTGCTGAGACTACCCCTGAGCCAGATTCCCCTGGCAGCTTGGGACTTCAGTGCCCTGCCTGGTTTCAGCCAGACCCGCTAGCCTGCTGCAAACCCAGACCCAGGTCTGAACCATGTCCCCAAACACCTGCAGGCTTAACTGAAAACAGCTAAAGTAGTGTTCCTGTCTCCAACACTGAGATGCCCAATGGGGTCCAAACCCCAAATAAATCCGTTTTACCCTGTATAAAGCTTATACAGGGTAAATTCATAGATTGATAGAGATTCACAGCTGTCCCCCTTCCCACACCTTGGTATTAATCCATATTCTGGGTTAATTAATAAGTAAAAAGTGATTTTATTAAATACAAAAAGTAGGACTTAAGTGGTTCCAAGTGATAAGAGACAGAACAAAGTAAATTACCAAACAAAATAAAATAAAACACGCAAGTCTATGCCCAATAGAGTCAGAAAATGATTACAGATGAAAAACCACCCTAAGAGATGTTCTAGTAAGCTTCTTTTACAGACTAGCCTCCTTCTAGTCTGGGTCCAGCAACCACTCACACCCGTTTACACTGTCCTTTGTTCCCGTTTCTTTTAGGTATCCTTTTGGGGGTGGAAAGGTCATCTCTTGAGCCAGCTGAAGACAAAATGGAGGGGTCTCCCAGGGGCTTAAATAGACTCTCTCTTGTGGGTGGAGACCTCCTCCTCTCTCCTATCCAGAGTGCAGCTCCAAGATGGAGTTTTGGAGTCACATGGGCATGTCACATGTCCATGCATAACTGAGTTCCTTACCAGCCAGGCCACATTCCTGGGAAAGATCAGATGTGGATTGGCGTCTCCAAGTTCATTGTTGGCTTAAGTGTTTCTTGATTAGACATTTACTGAAAACAGTCTTTTCTCAGGAAGCTGACCAACTGCTTCACTGAGGCTACTTAAAATTAAACAAATACATAGTCAATATTCATAACTTTGAATACAAAAATGAAACATGTATACAAATAGGATGAATATATTCAATAGATCATAAACTTTACAGAGATATGTTACATGGCATATGTAGCATAAAATATATTCCAGTTGTGTCATATATACATTCATAAGCATATTTCCATTAAGAATTATGGGGTGCAACATCATAGGGTGAAGAATCCTTCAACTGCTGAACAGAAGGCTGTTATAGCCGCCAAATGGACCCTGACAGAGCTGAAAGACAATCCTGGGTTTTTTTTAGCTATGAGGTAATTAAGGATGATCAAGAGGTAAGAATTAAGAGGTGGAACACTTCTCTGGACACATCATAGGCTGAATCTTTTCCATTTGTGGAAGTAAGCACATCTCCTGGAATCTTTGCTGCTGTCCAATAATACTCATTGTACCTCCTTAGAACAAGTCAACTGTAATCCCATGAACCATTGAGGAGCCAAGTTCTGAGACGAAGTACATTCAGGTTGGGATGAAAAGTGCAGCCAGCATCCTGGGAAAAATGAGGAATGGATGGAAGGCTGATCACCTGACAGATGGCTGAATCAGGAAAGGATACCATAGCTGCCTGGTCCATGTTGATTGATGATTTAATTGGGGATTGGTCCTGCTTTGAGCAGGGGGTTGGACTAGATGACCTCCTGAGGTCCCTTCCAACCCTGATATTCTATGATTCTATGCTCAGACTATTATGGCTTTGTTGTGCTTGATCTTGTTGATCGCCTTCAGAATCAGAGGTGTTGGGGGAAATACATATGGAAAGCTATCATAAATATAAAGGGAAGGGTAAACACCTTTAAATCCCTCCTGGCCAGAGGAAAAACCCTTTCACCTGTAAAGGGTTAAGAAGCTAGGATAACCTCGCTGGCACCTGACCAAAATGACCAATGAGGAGACAAGAGACTTTCAAAGCTGGAGCCAGGGGGGAGAAACAAAGGTTCTCTCTGTCTGTGTGTTGTTTTTGCCGGGACCAAAGCAGGAATGCAGGTCAGAACTCCTGTAAAGGGCTAATAAGCAATCTAGTTAGATATGCGTTAGATTCTGTTTTGTTTAAATGGCTGATAAAATAAGTTGTGCTGAATGGAATGTATATTCCTGCTTTTGTGTCTTTTTGTAACTTAAGGTTTTGCCTAGAGGGATTCTCAATTTTTTGAATCTGATTACCCTGTAAGGTATTTACCATCCTGATTTTACAGAGGTGATTCTTTTACTTTTTTTTCTTCAATTAAAATTCTTCTTTTAAGAACCTGATTGCTTTTTCATTGTTCTTAAGATCCAAGGGTTTGGGTCTGTGTTCACCTCTGCAAATTGGTGAGGATTTTTATCAAGCCTTCCCCAGGAAAGGGAGTGTAGGGTTTGGGAGGAAAGACGTTTCCAAGTGGGCTCTTTCCCGGTTATATTTTTGTTAGACGCTTGGTGGTGGCAGCAATAAAGTCCAGGGCCAAAAGGTAAAATAGTTTGTACCTTGGGGAAGTTTTAACCTAAGCTGGTAAAAATAAGCTTAGGGGTTTTTTCATGCAGGTCCCCACATTTGTACCCTAGAGTTCAGAGTGGGGAAGGAACCTTGACAAAAGCCTTTTGTTCATGAAATGAGGAAGGCATCTCCAAAAGGGAGATTAAAGGGAGGAAGTGGATACACGCATTCCTGACTGCCCTCTGTTCGATGAGGTTGATGTGTAGTCGTATCTCCTGGGAAGACCATTTGCCATGGTCTGTGAAGGTCCCCAAAGGCATCCCCCAACCCCTCAGGGCTGAATCTGTCATTTTAGTGATGGGGGAGGAGGCTGAACAAACGGAGTCCCCGTGATGACTTTGTTGATGTCCCTCCACCAACTGAGAGACTCTCTTACCTGACGAGAGACCGACATTAACTTGTTCAAGCTGTGTTTGTTTGGAGTACAAACAGTCCTGAGCCAGCCCTGGAAATATCAAAGGTGGAGCCTGGCACATCGCATCACAGAAGTGCAGGCTGCCATGTGTCTGAGCAATTGAAGACAACTTCTTTTTGATATCTATGGGCTGATTTGAATCTTTGAGACAAGATTCACTAACATCAAGAATCCATTAAGGGGAAGATAAGCCCTAGCTGATATAGTGTCCAAGGAGGCTCTTATGAACTCTATTCTTTGTACTGGGTTCAACTTGAATTTCTCAGTGTTGAGCTGCAACCCTAGCTCATGGAACAGAGAGCTCATCCTCTTTATGGTGTCAAAAACCTCATTGTAAAACCAGCCTTTGAGTAGCCAGTTGTCGAGGCATAGAAAAATGGTTATCCCCGGATGTCGAAGATAAGCTGCGACAACTGCCGGCACCTTTGAGAACACTCTTGTGTCAGACAAAAGGCCAAATGGGAGCACTCGATATTGAAAGTGGCCCTGGTCTACTGAAAAGCACAGGAATCATTTGTGAAATGGGTAAATTGCGATATGAAAATAGACATCCTGAAGGTTGAGGGCTAAAAACCAATCCCCCAGTTGTAATCACTGAATTATAAATGTAAGTCACACCATCCTGAATTTTTGAGACTTGACAAAGTTATTTAGGAGTCTTAGATCTAAAATTGGTCTCCACTGTCCTTTCTTTTTCAGGACCAGAAAGCAGCTGGAATAAAACCCCTTCCCTCTATGCAGAACAGGAACTGATTCTATTGCACCCATTTGCAGAAGTGGGTTAAAACTTCTTGCTTTAAGAGGTGCTCAGGAGAAGGGTCCGTGAAGAGGGATGGGGAAGGGAGGTAAAATGAATAGAGTATCCTGATCTTATGACCTCTAGCATCCATTTGTCTGATGTGATTCTCCCCATTGCAAAAAGAAAATGGGAGAAACAGTTTCCAAAGAGTGGAAGATGGGTAAAATGGTGTATATGTAGCTTGGTATTGAGAGATAATTTGACCAGGCCATCAAAACTAATGCTTAGATGATAATGATGATTCAGTCGCGGGCACAGAAGGAGCAGGTGATCTCTTCCTGTGGAACCTTGACTTTTTCCTGGGAGGTTGATACGGTCTTTGAAAACCTGAGAATGAAGTGGGAAGGGATCTTTGTGCAGTTTAGGATCTACTAAATTTTCATTTGTTTGTAGGCATGTAAATTCCAAAGGATTTTAATGTGGTTCTGGAATTCTTAAGAGTACACAGAGAATCATCAGTGGACTCAGCAAACAGTTTGAGGCCATCAAAGAGAAGGTCTTCAACCATGATTTGGACCTTCCTTGGGAATCGAGACAGCTAGAGTCAGGAAGCCCTCTGCATGACTACTGCCACAGAGATGGACTGAGCGGCAGTGTCAGCTGCATCCAAAGAGGCCTGTAGTGATGTTCTAGTTAACAGATGACCCTCATTAACAATAGCCTGAAACTGGTCATGTTGATCATCCAGCAGATGCTCAATAAAGGTGGTGAATTTGGCATAATCTGAATGATTTTATTTAGCCATGAGAGCTTGATAGTTCGCGATCCTAAACTGAAGAGTCATGGATGAATAGCTCTTTCTTCTGAATAGATCAAAGCATTTTTGGTCCTTATGACATGGCACGGCCTTCACATAACATTATATGCCGTGTTCATTTAGTGCCTGCACAACCAAGAACTTTGGTGTTGGACTGGTGAACAGAAATTCAGAGTCCTTAGCTGGGATGTAACATTTTCTTATCGGTTCATTTACACTTCAGCAGAATGATCGCAGGGGACTCCCAGACGGATTTGGCAGGATCCAACTAAGCCCAGTAGCGTAGCGGCTGCTCCCCCTCTGAGCACAAGTGGTGCCTTTTTAAATTTTTACTCACCCAGCAGTGCTCCAGCTCATTGGCGGTGGGGGCCTGCACGTGCTCTGGCTCCTCAGTGGCATTTCGGCGGCGGAGGCCTTCGTGCCGCCGAGGACCCAGAGTGCCGCCCAGTGAGTACAAGTGATTGGCACCTTTTTTTATGTCCGCTGCCCCTGTTCACTCCACCTAGCTACACAGCTGACTGAGCCTCATTAATAAACAGGACAACTCGGATAGAGGGAGTCCATTGGAGGATGTCTAGGAGCTTATGTTGTGACTTCCTGATCTGGAGGAAGTTTGCAATGCACTTCATTAACTCTTAGAAGTGTCCAAAGTCGTCAGCCACAGTCAGTGAGAGAGGTATAACAGCTTCATCTGGGGAAGATGAAGAAATGTTTGTTTGGGGAGTGACCTCTTTATCTGCCCTGACCTCCTGCCCCTCAAAGGTGCGTGAGGTAAGAGAGGAAGAGAAGTTGGATTACAAGAACTTCTCCCCTGTATTTTCTGAAAGAGAGACTAGAGGCATGGTAAAACTGCTGATGGATCCCAGTAGGCCACTGAGAAGGACCAAAAGGGGGTTGTGATAAATGAAGGGGAGGTGGAATAGCTCCCTTTTATGGACACCCAGCCAGCCAGCTTGCTATAAAATCCCTCTTAGTAGCTGTTCTCTACTTGCTTTACCTGTAAAGGGTTAAAAAGTCTCACTGCTATACATAGATAAAAGAAAGTGAGTGGGCACCTGACCAAAAGAGCCAATGGGAAGGCCAGAGCTTTTTAAACTTGAGAAAAAAATTTCCCCTCTGTCAGTGGTTGTTCTTCCGGGAAGAGGGGGATGGAGCAGTGATGCTGTAAAAAGCTTGGGACCAGGTATGACAAGTCATCAGTATCATACCTAGAAACTACTCATTTGAAACCCCAGATATGTAAGTAGATCAGAAAATGTCTAGGAAGACAAGATTAGATTTATCCCTTTATTTCTTTATGGCTTGTGGATTCCTCTGTGCTAACCCCAGTGCTTTTGTTTTGCTTGTAACATTTAAGCTGGACCTCAAGAAAACCATTCTTGGTGCTTAATCCTTGTAATTGCTCTTTTAAAATCTAGCAACAGCTGAGTTCCCAGATGTATTTTCCTTCCTTTTTTTTTTAAAATACAATTTACCTTTTTTAAAAACAGAATTGGATTTGTGTGTCTTAAGAGGTTTGTGCATACTATTTAATTAGCTAGTGGCAACAGCTAATTTCCTCCTCCCCCCCCCCCACTCAGCTCTTCCCTGGAGGGGCGTGTGAAAGGGCTTGAGGGTATCCCACAGGAAGGAATTCCCAAGTGAGCCTTCCTGATCTCTCAAAGCAGTTCTGCACTTGGGTGGTGGCAGCATCTACCAATCCAAGGTCAGAGAAAAGCTGTAACCTTGGGAGTTTAATACAAGCCTGGAGTGGCAAGTATTAATTTTTAGAGTCCTTGCGAGCCCCCACCTTCTGCACTCGAAGTGCCAGAGCGCGGAATCAGCCTTGACAGGGGTGGCAACCACTTGTGCTTGAACAAGGTCTGGGATACACGGGCTGGTCTTTGATGCAACTCCCCACTCTTGTCAGAAGTGTCAGGATGGAAATCCCTGGATCAAAATACTCAAATTGGAGGAAAATTCCTCCTCTTCAAGAAGGGGACCACCGGTACTCTCTGAAGATGTTGACAAGTCAAGCGGTACTGTGGAAAGGTCCCATCTCAGTGACTGTGCTTTTCTTGGTACTGATAACCTCCTAGTACCGACCAAGAAGAGAGACTCCAGCTTCTCTGAAACAAATAGATCCCTTGAGAATCTGAACCCCTATGATATCGGGTTGGTTTGAAGAGTGGGGCATCATTCCATTATTGGTACTGAGGGTATATGCTGTTCTGGCAAGCCCACTCTGGTTGAAATAGATGGTACTGATGAAGATGCCTTGGGGACTGCTGAGAGTGGATAAGAGGCATGGTGTCTTCCCGGTACTGACGCCATCTTAGTGGCCAACTTAGATGTAGACATTACCAAAGAAGTTGCGGGTACTGTTCTCTGAGGCGTGGAATGCTTCGATGAAGCATGCTTTCTTCTGCTGAGCCTGGCGCCCAAGGCACAGGATCGATTCCGAGAGCATCGATTCCGAGAGCATACCCAAGGTGGGACACCAGGTCTCCGCAGCAGTCTTGCTCTGCAGGGACTGAGGTCTTTTGAAGTGGACTCTTTCTGTGGAGAAAGACTTTGGTTTTTGTGGGTCTTGTCTGTGGATCTACCTCATGTAAACGCAGGTAAACATGTCAAAGTTGACGGAGCACTCTGTTAATTAAGTGACTGACATCGAGGGGGGTCTCCTGACCTGGATCTGAGGCCAGTTGGAGGGAATGCTCCATTCTTTAGAATCTCAGTTTTATCTGTCAGTGTTTTTTTGCCCTGCCCTTAAAAGTTGAGCAGATGGAGCACTTACGTGGGATATGAGACACTCCAAAGCAACAGAGACAACGGGAATGCCAGTCACTGAATGGAATGGCCTCCCAGTAAGAGAAAAACTGCTTGAAGCCTGGAAAGTCTGACATACCCCCGGGCAAAGCAATTTAACATGGGAAGTTTCCCCTCCCCAAAGGGGAAAAGGGATCAAGAGAAAGTCCCCCTAAATAAAAAGTAAATAAAATAACTAAAGAAAAACCAACAAACTAAAGAAGGGTAACCAGGCTCAGAAACTTCAAAAGTAAGACACACTAATACTCTGTGTTAGGCCCAGGAGGTTGAGAAGGAACTGGGCTGGTTCACCCAGGCAGCCCTATATAGCCTTTAATCGGGGCCCAAGGAAGCGTAAGTCACATACACGGACCAAATGGGCACTACTACCAAAAATCTGATTAAAGGTGCAAGGGTGTGAGCTCACCTGAAGTGGACACTGCTCAAAGAAGAAATATAAAGTTTGCAGATGCAGCAGCGTCCTTGTCTGTAAAGGCTGTAGAACGTAAACTTTGAAGATACCATATATGCTTTATGAAGAACCGCTTTTAGCTATCTCTATGCTAACAAAAGTGTTTTTTTCCTATTAATATTTCTGCTGTTTAAACATATACACTTAAAAAGCAATAAAACATGTTAGGAGATGGCATTCTCTTAGCAATCCTTTCATCTAATGTGGCTGAAGGTGCTCAGAAGACATACCTGATGTATGTAGTTTTCACTATGTACCCTTAATTAGTCACTTATTCATTCCAGACTTGCCTCGGTGAGCTCAAAGGCCAATAAAATGTTCCTAAAATATATTATATTAATTAATACCTGAGGAACACGGAGCTCTTTTAGCTGGTCTTGAGTAATCTCACTGAGCTGCCGAAATGCCATTGTAAAATCAGCCTTTGTATCTTCCATGAGCTAATGAAATTAAATACATTTCTATCAGTGTTTTTAAAATATTAGACATCAGTTCAAATATCCCCAAAAGAATGGCCAATAATAAACTCACTTTTAGGAGAAAAGCAATCAAATAGTTATCATCCTCACTCTCCCCAAGGAGACCCAATTTTGCTCTGAATAGTTCTGTAAAACTGAAAGTAGTAACAGAAGTTATGAAGGCAAAGACATTGTTCCGAAAACATATTCTATAGTATATGCTTCTTTAAAATCTGAATTATGGAAGTACATACCGGCTATAATAATGCTCAGAGTATCCCTCCAGAATCTGGAAAGCACTATAAAAGTAAGGAAATATCAAATCCTATTGACCAATAGTAATACCAAAGACACAATTCAGCTTTATATTCAAGTGTGAAACCTTCTCTGGCTTGTACCTATTTATGAAAAACTTCTCTCTTACCCCATTTTGATATTTTTCTATTTGTTTTAAAAACAGTCTTGTTTGGCTCGTAACATATCCAGAAAATACTTTCTGTTTAGAAATCAAACTTCCTAAAAAAAGAGCCCCCTTTTCTCCTACACATATGGCCATTATAGCATCTCTCTCTAGTTCTTTTAAGTGTGAAGATATTTTTAAGGATAACTTACAGATGCTTTTGTCTGTGATCCAATACAGGTTTTAGAGCTTGTAACAGCTTGTTCAGATTAAACATCCCAACATTTGCTTGGTTTCCTATTTTATACCTCCTTTCATCATCAGATGTGTTTGGAACAAAATCTGTTTGAAACAAAGCATTACATTTCAACAGATTAATTAGAATAAACAACCAAAGTTTAATATTTTAAAGAGGTTAATTTTTCATATTTACACAGCAAACTCACAGAAGTCTTGCAAGCACTAAATATTAACTCAGAGTACTCCAAACACAAGAATATTTATTTACCCTGGATTAGCCCGGGATCTAACATTTGCCAGAGTAAGGAATACATTCTTAGAGCACAAGTTCCCAGATGGTCACAAGTGTTGTTTTCCCACTTCAAGACACAGAATAAATTCAGATATTTAAACAGCCAATTCTTTTTTACATTCAGAATAATGTTTTTCAGTATTCTTTAATATAAATAATGCTACTATTAAATATCATATGATTCGATGCCTAGGGATTCTGGACTTCCAAACAACAAAATATTTTTATGATGTAATCTCAGTAAATGAGATGCATATATTTTTAAGTAGCGTAGTGACCCTAATTATCTGAACATAAATATTATTTCAAATTATATATAATTATATATTTGCTTCTGAAATATTTAGGGCTAAAATGTTCCAGTATAAGAAAGTCCACTTTAAGGAGCAGCGAATAGGCAAACGCATACCCTTCACGAAAGGCATAATGCATCCAGGAGCAAAGGGTAAACGTAGCCACAGCATCAACCTCAGAAAGGATGCAGCATGCACTTCTTGTCCAGAACAGGGCCAGCTCTGCTGTTCAGTGTCTATGGGGGGAAAAGGCTGTCGTCCTGGATCCTCCTTTGCACTCTCTGAGGAGGCTACTACCAGAAGCAATACTAATGGGGATCAGCCCTAGCACTCAGAAGGAAACAAGGACTGTGACTATGAACAGCATCTCAGAGTTGGTGTCAAATAGGAATTCTACTTTGTTTGATTCATTGTTATTAGAGGTGGGCCCAAAACACTACTTCAAATGCAACCCACTCTTCTCCCCAGACCACCCACACAACTGTGAATTTTGGGAGCTGAGGTACATGTTCAAATCTGAATCCGCAGATCTACATCCACTCCTCTGATTTGGCTTCAGGGAAAGAACTCAAACTAGAAGAGCCTCTTAAGGTTCCAGCTGAGATATGCCTAAGGTGTACAAGATCAGATTTCATGAGATTTTCATCATTTGAGCCTGTAATCTTATGAAAATGGACAGTGAGATTTCAACACCATTGAGCCTGACCCCCAGCCATCATTTGACTTCCAAACCCCAGCCTAAATGAAATGTACATCTGAAGACCATCTTCTGGACCTATGTCTATTTATTACAGATGGAGAGAGTAATGTAATTCATGCTTTCAATTAAAGATTTACAGTGGAGTGTCATAACTGGGCAGATTTGACTTTTACCCCCTGTATTAACAGTTGTGACGGTAAAGTCAAAATGATAAAAGATGACATATAGAAATTCATATATAGACTTTGCTTTTGGCTACTTTTAGCTGTATTCAATTTTTACGGAGTTTTCTGGATTTCTGCTGTAGCATCTGGGAATCTGATGAATGTCAGTATGAGAGATACTTCATGGAAATGGGTTTAGTAGTAATATACATTACCTGCAAGTTTTTTAGTGTACAGTTTAAACAGAACTTGTGTAATACACAGTAAAACTGCTCTCTCATCTAAAATGCAACTAGATGCACAAAACTTATTTTTTGACTAATGTACATGCAATAGTACACACATGCAGGATTCATGTGCTAATAATGTTAAGAACATTCTGAGCAAACAAAAACTATATAAGAAGAAATTTCATGTATATTCAAATACATGTGCTATACTCACTTGGATCATAGGACTCCATAAAACCAAATGGACCATAATCTATTGTTATGGATAACAAACTGAAGTTATCTGTATTGCACACACCTAGAATTAATCAACAACAAAAATACAACTATTAAAACAATAAAGTTGTTTATTCTACACACTGCTGATTTATCAAAAGCAGAAAAGTTGCTGAAAAGCCTAGATTACAGTGGATTTAAATTACAATAACTAAAGTTGGGCCCAGCAGATGAGAGTCTGGATTTTAAGTTCAGTCCCTTGTTCCCAACTTTGCAGGCATTTTATATATCAAAACTGAAAACATCTGATGTCTCTGTGATATCTCATCTTGTTTCTATGCCTAGATGGCACTGTCTCCTTTTACTTTCAGTGGCGACATTGAGGAACTATGACTACCTCTTGCACACTTGATCAATTATTTTCCTTTCCTTGTGAGTTGTGTGTACGGTACATTAGCAATATAATGCTGATTCTACTTATGGGGTATAATTCTGAAACAAAGTTTCATAGCATATTGATAGTACAGTGGTTTTACAAATAAACAAATTCATATCTCAGTGAATTTAGGTACTGATATTGCTGCACCACTGCACTATCTGACTATATAAGATAGGATCTAATGAAGGCATCCCAAACTCATGCCCATTATATGACACCAACATGTGGCCTCTGCATATATTACAAAACACTATTACATGCACTAGTGGTATGTCAGTGCAACTGTCTTTCAAAAACAACCACTGTATTGTATCATCTAAAGGGTTCACTTTAAAAAAAATCCAGTAGATTGACCTAAATAAGTAATATTGATAAAACTGTGTTCTTTGCCACTAACCAACAACCCTTCTTAAAGAATTTTTTGAGAAGCCCATGTACTATACCAGTCTTTTGCCTCTTCCTAATCTGTCTGCACTTTGAAAATCAGAATCTCTCTTGAATCTGTCAGAGAAAACTTGCAGAAGCGCTAATCAACAACAGGGATATTATTGTAGGCAAAAATGCCAAAAAGTTTGAAATAAAGGACAAAAAGGAGGAGAATTAAACATGACAAAGCAAAAGCCATTATTGAGTATATGTAAGGATCTTCATTTTTGGTTTTTACTAATCTCTACCAAAAAAATCCCCAGGTTTTACAAAAGCTATTTTTTTTTGGTTTTTACCAATTTTCACCTGAATTTTGAACCCTTCAAGCACATGAAAATACTAATTATCTTAAGAAAATCCAATACACTGTATTAGATAGATGTGTTTATGTTAATAATAAATTAATCTAAGTGTAAGTGAGGGGCTGTCTGTTAAAGTAAGGCAATGTACTGGAAGAAACACACACACACGAACGCACACACACACGTGCATATACCTATGTACTGTTAATATACAGTTCATGAAATAAACCACAGCACTAAACTATTTTAACTTTCAATACTCTTACTTTTCTCTACTTGTTGCTATTTTCTGTCCTCCTATCTCCCCAATATTAACCCTGATAATTACCCAAAAAACTGTGAAATTATTTTTTGCACAGTTTTTAACTCGTTTTTTTTATTTTTTTAATAAACACGGATACATTCTAGGGAAATTTAAACAAAACAAATACCAAAACCAAAAGGCTTTGAATTTATTACGGGTAAAGGGACTTTTAACAGACCTTAATATTTTACAATTACCACACCAATAATTTAACTGAGCTATCATCACTTACCATGAGCAAAGCCCACTGACATCCACAATGCAATCAGATTTGCAGTCTCCAATACCACTTTAGAGAAAAAGTCCTGAAATCAAAAACATTTTTCACTTCAAACCCTTTAATAAATACAGATAAACACTATGTTATCAAATATATAGTTTATTTAAAAATAACAGTTGGCACGTTATACTCGGTTTCTTTTTAATATTTGGGCACACACTCTCAGTGAGTTAGCTGCATGATGATCTTATCCAAGAACACCCAGAGGTGTGTGACAATACACATACTCAGCTGCAATAGCAATAATAATAAAACGAAAGTGTAGTAATGATCAAGTATATTGCATGTATTTAGGGTAGAGCATGATCCTGCACTCCATCACTAGTCTATGGTTAGGATATGAAGGGCATAAGGAGAACAAACATTAATGGAGAATGTGATATTACCATAATAAATATGTTTGTGTAAAATAACAGGCAGGAAAAGATAATCTTCATACTTGAAGTTGAAGGGAAAACTATGAGAATATTGAAGAAGAATATTTGCAAACATCTGTTTGAATAAAAATTGCAAGCGCACTTCAATGATATTTGCAATATTTTAAATTTTATTTTTTATGTTGTTAATACAAATGATGCTTTGTTGATAATATGCATGCAAAGTGAAAGTCTCTCCTATACTCACCAAATATCTATTTGAATCGTTCATGTTTACAGATGGAAAATGTTCTTGTATGACAAAGTCTAGCAGTGTCCTGAAAAAAAGAACCAAACAGTTCTTTAACCAAAACCAGTATTTTTAGGACTAATGTGCCAAACGTATGACTAATCATTCTTATTCTCCACATTAAAGGGCTGATCAAATCCCAATGAAGTCAATAAAGAAACACTCATTAACTGCAATGGATAAGACCCTAATAGAATCTGTTAGCAATAAAACTTAATGTTTCACACACAGAACAGGATTAGAAGCAGTCACATTATGTTAAAACAACTCCAAGTATTACATTCTCTGATTAGAGCACAGTATTTGTTTACATGCCCGTATAACAACATTTTCTGACAAACTGGTTTGGTTATAAGAAAAAATCACTATCAGGCAAAGTTCTGAGCCAAGATTCTCCACACAGAACATTTTAATGACTGAATTCTAACCCTTATAAAAAACAGCTATTTACCACAGTATAATACGTTCTTCGAGAACTGCTTATATGGGTCCTGACAGCAAGTGACATGCAGGTCCTAGGTGCCTTAGCTTGGAACGTTTTCAGAAACTATGGACTGGGGCTGCACACATATAAACTAAAATCTTATGTAGCACAGCCTCAACCATAATTCAGTTCCTTCTGCAAACCAAAAATCTGCTGTAAGATTTCAAAATAAAGGGGACAGAGGGCAGGCAGCATGGATCCAGGCAGGCAATCATCTTGAAGAACCGCTTACTATGTTAAGTTTCAGAGGAACAGCCGTGTTAGTCTGTATTCGCAAAAAGAAAAGGAGTACTAGTGGCACCTTAGAGACTAACCAATTTATTTGAGCATGAGCTTTCGTGAGCTGATGAAGTGAGCTGTAGCTCACGAAAGCTCATGCTCAAATAAATTGGTTAGTCTCTAAGGTGCCACAAGTACTCCTTTTCTTTTTACTATGTTAAGTAACTGTTACTTCTTCTCTGAGTGCTACCTGCCTGAGTTCCTACTGTAAGTGATGAGCAAGCAGTCTATAGATTCAAAGGAGGAAATTCCAAGGAATCTTACTTGAATAAAAATCACAAAACAGCTCTCTCAAACTGAGCAACAAAACTGCTTAAGGGACAACATATTTTAACGATCAGAAAACTATAGTATTGTTAAAAAGCCTATAATAGTTCTGCAATAGTTTGTTACCCACATACATTATTCCCTTTTTAATCCTGCATACTTCTGGAAAATACATATTGCAGAACATACTTCTGTTATTGTTATATTTCATATTTATATAACAGTAGCACACACAGGCCCCTATGAAAACTTTTACAAACTGAAGCCCCCATCCTACAAAAATGTATACAATTGCTTAGTTAATGGGACTACTCGTGTGTAAATTTAAGCCTGTGCAAACGTTTTTGCAAGGTCAAGTCCAAACAACTAAATGCAGCCCTTACCATGAATATCTGGCATTTGAATCTTTATTAAATAGTATTTCTTTCCTTATAAGTAAATAGCAAAATCAGGTGAATCAGTCCAATAAGTGATCTTTCCAAATTACTACTGGACATACATGTTTGAATAGGTTTTATTTATATTAGAATTAATATAATTACTATGAAGATTTCATTCTAACCTTTGCAAGTCCAGTTCCCCAGAATGAGCTAAAATTTCCAAGGAACCTATACGAAACCATGATTTGGCAACACGTAGGACTACTGCACCTTAAACATAAACATATACGTTAAATTTAAATAGCTTGCTGATACACATGCACGCACATACACACAAACATACACATGCATTTTATATATATATGAAAATAATAATATAAAAATAAAACTAAAAACCAAATATGAGTGTGTGTACATCATTAAATTCCCATACAAATATTTTAACACTGTTTAATTTGCTTGAAAATGACTGACACACATAAACCCATTTAAAAAGGAACAGGAGCTTATATGATATGGAAAATTGTGCATTTAATTCCAAGAAGAAAAAGGGAAAAACAAGTAAGAAACAATGAAGAGGAAAATGGAAGAGGCAAAAGAAATGAAACACAGGGAGTGAAGGACCTAAATTTCAAAAGTGATTAGTGGTTTTGGGTACCTATTCACTTTTGAAAATTTAAGCCTAGACACACACAAATTAAACATTCAAGAAAAGCCATCCAGTTAGAAATAGCATCACTGGTCACACAAGCTAATTCAAACAGAGGAATGTAGCAGGACTGTTATGGAGGGCCCTAATGAACTAACTTAAAGCAGAGAAATAAGACAAACATACTAAAACAATAAAGGGGGAAAAGAGAAAAGTCTTCTTTGGGCATTGCTATGTTCCAGATTTTTCCATTAATATATTGCAAGTTGCATACCTCTTCGAAACCTTTTCCAGGGGAAGACAACCCTCTTGCTTCTCCTTCCATTCCTGCCCTGCCCCCTCACCCTTTTCCTCCAACACATCCACTTTTATTTGGTATAAAAATCATAAGCAATTTCAGCTTCTCCCTTTAACATCTTTTCTGCCCTCTCCCTACCTCAGTTAGAGAACAAGTATTTTGTAGCAATAATTAAGTTAAGACTAGGGTTACCATATTTCAGATTCCCCAAAAGAAGAAACTGATGGAGGGGAACTCCATCAAAATTCACCCTTTACCTCTTTTGTTGTGGCTGTTGTGATCAAATTTTGAAAGAGAAGAGACACACACATCAGGTATGTCACACCTACAGCAGCCTTGACCACAGAAATTTTAAATTAAGAAACATTTGGGGAATGATTTCCTCAGGAGGAAGTATAGTATCTAAATAAGGACTCTCTGGAAATGAGATGATTTGGTGCATATTTTCATTCAAAAATATAGTGCACTTTCCAACTACACAATGTCAAAAATCACTGAAGAATATTTTAAATGCACTGATTACCTCTTTCTTTCTTAACACTTCCATTGTAAAACTGGTCTCTCCACACATCATCATTACTTACAACTAAGCTGTAAGAGAAGAGAAAAAGCCGTGAAAGATGTCTGAGCAAAAATATTTTATACCCAAATGCAAGTCACATTTTACAATTCTATTTCATTTTAAAGAAGAAAGAAAAGATGAATAATTGGTGTGCTGGTATGATTGAGTCTTTACAAAGAATATAGGCAGGTGACAAGATGAGGTTACAGCTTATTAGCAAAATGTGTTTGTTTCACCTTTACCTTATCCTCCAACCCCACAACCCATCCTTTGCCTGTTTCTTTCATCTGTGCCATCTTGTCATAATCTTAAATTGTCAGCTCTGGGGCAAGGACTGTCTTTTTTAATTTGTGCTGTAATTTGGAACTTTGATTATTGACTGATACTGTTGTAAAATAAATAACAATCATAGTTGGCGAGTTATATGGGTCCATGGTGCCTGGGCACCAGGAATATTCCTGGCCCAGGGCCCAACTCCAGCAATGTTTGAGACCGGGTCTCTCCCTAAGCCCCAGCTTCCACCCCTGGGCTCTCCCCTCCGCACATCCCCTGAGCGATTTACAATGGACCGGGGCCCCCACCCACCCACCACTGTCAGTGCAGCAGAGCTGAGGGCTTCCTGCCTGCTCACTCCACATGGCTAATGGCCCCTCCCTGCGGCCCCTGGGCAGGGTGGGTCTGTGTCTACACCCGCTGCTCCTGCGCCAAGCGCCCTGCGGCCAATAGAAAGCTGCAGGGGCAGTGCCTAGGAATAGCAGCGCGGAGGCCCCCTGGCCAGGAGCCCCAGGTAAGCACCGCAACCCCCCACCCCCTCCCAGAGCCTGCACCCCCACCCCTTTCCCACACACCCCCTCCTACCCCCAAACTCCCTCCCAGAGCCTGCATCCCCACCCCTGAGCCTGCACCCAGACTCTGTCCCAGAGCCTGTACCCCTCAACCCCTCCTGCATCCCCACCTCCCCAGCCCAGAGCCTGCACCTCCTGCACCTCCACCCCTTTCCCCAACCCAGAGCCTACACCCAAACTCCCTCCCAGAATGTGCACCCCCAGCCCAGAGCCTGCACTTTGCTCCTCTCTGCCCTCTACCCAGAGGTCCCCGCCCACGCCTGCTCCTCTCTGCCTCCTCCCCCAAGGCCAGGCCCATCAGCCGCTCGCTTCTCTCCACTTGCCTCCTTCCCAGAACGGGGGGGCCATGGCCCCATTACTTTTTCCTGCCTTCGGTGAGAGATGGGGGGGAGGGAGTGACAGGATTGAGCAGCGAACAGGGGAGGCCTTGGGGGAAGAGGCAGAGTGGGTGTGAGAAGAGGCGGAGCGAGGGAGGGGCCTCAGGGAAAGAGGCAGAGTGGGGATGAGCGGAGCACAGCCCCGCCCCTTTCTAAGGAGCTTCACTTTCGGCGCTTCAAAGATAGCAGTGGGCAGGCACGCCTACGGAGGGGTGACTCGCACCACATCCGTGTCATTTCCCTCCTGCATGGCCAGCCTTTTTTGCGGAGGCTTAGCCTCCTCTGGCCTCTTATACGCGCTGCCCTACATTCTGAATATCCAGACTGTATATAGGTAAGATGAATTTCACCCTGAATCCTTATTAAAAATAAAGGTCACCTTACAGATGGGTTCACCCCACTAACTTCATGTGTTGTTTTCCCAATTAGAAGCCCCAGTCTATGACTGCAGTGGTGCCAGATAAAGATATTTTCTTCATCTGGCACCGCTGCAGATGTAGGCTGCAACTTCCAGTTGGAAACACAGCACATGAAGTTAATGGCATGAACCCACCTGTAGGATGCTCTTCTTGGCTGAGTTATATGGCCCTTTCCCACATTTCTGCCAAGACTCAGCAAGAACTTTGTAAATGGATTAAAATTGTTGAGACACAACAGTTCCCCATTGGGACGAATATGGGTATCAACTGGGTTTCTTCAGTGAAAACTTTATAAAACAGGTCTGGTGGAAAGAGTCAACAGAACAGCCTTATACAGTGACACTTTACCAACTTGCCAAGTATAGTGGGCTAAGGAATATTTTGTACACGGCAGAATTAGCACACAGTTAAGGAATAATGTTTGATAGTATCTCTGAAGTGAACAATTTGTCAAGACAACAGTACAGGAAGGACATAACCTTGCCATAAGCTCTCACACTGATGTCCACACAGATTTGTGGTTTTGCATCAATTACTGACACTTTGGGACCTTTTGTTGAAATGAGTGAACAGATCTTCCAACACGTTATTTACAAACATTGCACTCCAGCAGAGCAAATGTGTTAAAACTAACAGGCGTACTTGTGGCACCTTAGAGACCAAAAAGAAAAGGAGTACTTGTGGCACCTTAGAGACTAACCAATTTATTAGAGCATGAGGTGCCACAAGTACTCCTTTTCTTTTTGCGAATGCAGACTAACACGGCTGTTCCTCTGAAACCTTAGAGACCAACAAATTTATTTGAGCATAAGCTTTTGTGAGCTACAGCTCACTTCATCAGATGCATGCAGTAGAATATACAGCGGGGAGATTTTATATACACAGAGAACATGAAACAATGGGTGTTACCCTACACACTGTAACGAGAGTGATCAGGTAAGGTGAGCTATTACCAGCAGGAGAGGAAAAAAACCTTTTGTAGTGATGATCAAGGTGGGCCATTTAGTAACACTCAGTAACAGATTTAAAGGTGGCAATTTTGCAACAGAAAAGTTTCAAAAACAGACTCCAACGAGAAACTGCTGAGCTTGAATTAATACGCAAACTAGATACCATGAACTTGGGCTTGAACAGAGACTGGGAGTGGCTGGGTCATTACACATATTGAATCTATTTCCCCATGTTAAGTATCCTCACACCTTCTTGTCAACTGTCTAAATGGGCCATCTTGATTATCACTACAAAAGCTTTTTTCTCCTTCTGATAATAGCTCATCTTAATTAATTAGCCTCTTACTCCACTTTTTTATGTTCTCTCTCTCTCTCTCTCTCTATATATATATCTTCTTACTATATGTTCCATTCTATGCATCGGATGAAGTAGGCTGTAGCCCACGAAAGCTTATGCTCAAATAAATTTGTTAGTCTCGAAGGTGTCACAAGTACTCCTGTTCTTTTTGTGGATACAGACTAACAGGGCTGCTACTCTGAAACCTGTGTTAAAACTAATGCTAGAGAGATTTGCAGGCACTCTGCAACCACAGAAACCACAAGAGTTTGCATTGTGACAGCTGAGTACAATGCATTTGCAGCAGAATGTTTACTTTCTGTGGACTCTGAAACACATGAGCCCCCAGACATGACCAACTCACGTGGAACACAAAATAAATGTCACAATTTTAACCAGACATCTTGAAAGTTTTTGATTTACAGAATTCTAAGAAAGAAAATAGATAAATGTGCTTATTAAAGTTTCTATATCTCTAGCAGATTTGATTTTTAATTTTTTTTTTTAATATGACCACCTGTGGGGTTTTTTTTTATCCTGGAGGACACTAATGACAAGTGTACTTGGTTGTTGCTTTTATCTCAGATTTTGTGCAGTGAATTATATTCAACATAAGTTTTAAAAATCCTGTAATAATTAAGAAAAGTATCAGATCACCTGAAAGGGGCACCATCAACCTAAAATGCATATTTCTAGCTTAAAATAGTTTTTCTATCTATGTTAAAAGAAACACCCTAAGGTTATTGCAATTGAAAGTTATGAAAGACAAAAAAGTTCTCTATTTTTGCCATTTGTTTACTTTGTGTATATGATAATACTTGCAGATCGTCATTTTCACCTTTTTTCATGTGTAGTGATTTAGGCTCTGATCCTGCAAAGACTTACACAGGTGCTTATTTTATGCGTGAGTAGTCCCACTGACTACTCATATACATAAAGTATGAGCATATTACTTATAGGATCAGGATCTGAGTCAGTTAGTTCACGCTGCTCCTTGTGCAGGTGTTCCATATAGCAACAGGTGAGAGTTTAAAAAAAAAAAAAAACATTTAAAATAGAAATTTTGATTGTAATACCAGACAATGGAAGGGGAAGTTAGTGGCAGGTGTTGTTTCTTAAATTAATTTTAACTCATTTTTGAGAGCTGAGTAGATTTCAAGTTGACCGTGTCCCTTTAAAACACAATCGTCTCTCACCTTCCCTTGCATCCATTCACAGCTGTTCACTCCAAAACAGAGAAAAGTTATAGCAAACAGTACCATCAACAAAAATGTATTTGCAAATCACTTCAGAGACAAAAGTGAATCAATTCGTAATGAAAATTCTCAAACCTAGCATCATTAAGAAGTTTTACCAATCTCAAAAAATGGAGGGGTATATTTTGGCACTAGCTGTAACTCTGCATTTAGAAAAAATCTCTCTCTAAGAGATTAGCTACTCCACTTCACTGATTCACAGCTCAAGCCAAAAAAGCCCAATCCCAAAACTCAACTTCATAGTTTCCATAAACATGAATGTTGCAAAAGAGAAAAGATGGGTAATACCTAGCTGCTCTGCTTGTAGGAATTCCAAGGTAGTGCATGGCCTCACTGCACAAAAATTCTCGCACAGAGGAGCGAAGCACAGCTCTTCCATCACCATTTCTACAGAGAACAAATGGATTGGGAATATTTTGTCTTCTGTTTTCAAATATGTAGAGAAAACATCAAACTTCTGTCTGTGTGAATTAACTGTACTGTACCTTGAATATGGAGTCTTTCCTGAACCTTTCAACTGTAATTCCCATCTTTCACCATACCTACATAAACAACACTAGTATTTATGATACATACTGGGATATCCACATGTCAACCAAATATTACATACAATGCTATATGATCATTTTAAAATAAAGCACGCTGTACCTGTTTGTGTACACACCAATCAAGTGGGCTCTTCCATCACCCAGCTGACCTGCCCAACTACCAAACTAACAAGAACAGAAATTTTAAAAATTAAGTCATTTTCTTCTTGCTATCATTTACATGTTAGGACATCATTAACAAACATCTTAACATGACCTATATGATACAAATAATGCTACAGTTGCTCAAGTAATTATTAAGGGATTGATCCCCCAAACATGTTTCAACATAATCCTGCACATGCTTACTGTTTGCTTACTGATGAAGATTTACTGAAGTTAATGGGTTTACTCACAGGAGGAAACTGTAACCAAGATTTACAATTCCCTCCCTTTTCTGCCCGTTGCCCCTTACACAAGACAGAATGTAAAATTACAATCTAGCCCTCAATGAGCACTGAGTATTTTTACAGATTCTCAAGACATAATTCAAATGGTAAATGCCAGCACATAAATGCATATTATCACGTGCAGAACAGGTATTATTGTTACCTGATGGCCTCCATACCTATGGGTCAGAGGAATAGACCCTAAAACCACTTTCCCACCACTGACAAGCTGGAGAAAATCGTCTGTTTGTTTGACAGATACATCAAGGTCCAAAATGCCTTCCAGAACATCCTGAAAAAACAGAAATTATTTAGGTTTCAGAGTAACAGCCGTGTTAGTCTGTATTCACAAAAAGAAAAGGAGTACTTGTGGCACCTTAGAGACTAACCAATTTATTTGAGCATGAGCTTTTGTGAGCTACAGCTCACTTCATCAGATGCGTACTGTGGAAACTGCAGAAGACATTATATACACAGAGACCATGAAACAATACCTCCTCCCACCCCACTCTCCTGCTGGTAATAGCTTATCTAAAGTGATCATCAAGTTGGGCCATTTCCAGCACAAATCCAGGTTTTCTCACCCTCCGCCCCCCCCTACACAAACTCACTCTCCTGCTGGTAATAGCCCATCCAAAGTGACCACTCTCTTTAAAATGTGTATGATAATCAAGGTGGGCCATTTCCAGCACAAATCCAGGTTTTCTCACCCCCCCACCCCCCTCCAAAAACCACACACACAAATTTAAACGTTACCAAAGTTCTGATGATAGGGAGATTTTGTTCACGCTATTCTTTGAGTTAATAAGAGACACCACTAAAATGAAGGTGCATGATATACAAAGCTTATGCTCAAATAAATTGGTTAGTCTCTAAGGTGCCACAAGTACTCCTTTTCTTTTTGCGAATACAGACTAACACAGCTGCTACTCTGAAACCCATAGTATATTTTGTGTTCAAAATTTTCTATTAATTTTAAAGATACATATTAATAAAACAGGAACACTATATTCTAAGAAATAAATAAATCTAACCTTTGAAACTGCTACAAGAAGAACTCTGGATATAAAAGGAGTAGGGTAGGCTACAGAAAAAATGCAGTCTCGTACTTTACGAATTGAGTTTTCTGGAATAGTATCAACAGGCAGCATATCTGTAAAAAAATCCAATGAACCTTTTAAAAAATGTTATGAATTAACCACATTATTATATATTATTTTCCCTAAAGGCAAAATAAAAATAGAAAACACAGGAGACAAAAATGTATCATGTTTTAGACAGTAAAGGCTGGATCCTCATCTGTCTACAGTGTAAAGCAGATTTAAGTAGTTTATACTACTTATGCCCTCCAAAACAAATCTAGGGTCAACTGGTGGTCAATTCCCCCCCACCTCCCATGCAGTTTAGAACAGCCTCAGGGCTGATACAAATTGCACACAGTCGTAATGGCCACTAAGGGTATGTCTACACAGCAAAGAAAAACCCATTGCTGGCCCTTGCCAGCTGACTTGGGCTCGTGGGGCTCTGGCTGCGTGGCTTCTGTATTGCTGTGTACACTCCTGGGATTGGGCTGCAGCCCAACCTCTGGGACCCTTCCACCCTGCAGGGTCCTAGATCTTAGGCTCAAGCATGAGCCTGCAAAGCTATACAGCAGTAAGCAACCCCATAGCCTGAGCCCCACAAGCTTGAGTGGGCCATTATGGGCCAGCCACGGGTTTTTCTTTGCTGTGTAGACATTCCTAAAAGGCGATTTCAACTGCCAGGAATTCCCCAAGAGCAGCCACACCCTCTTTCCCCCACAATCAAAGTCCCCTATGCAAGGAAGCAACACAATTGCAGCCATAAGCATAGGGGACATACAGCCAGAATACTGATCTGGAGACTCCCCTGTGCAAGAGTGATCCCCAGGTAGCCAGTTAGCCAACTTTAAGTCTGCTTTGTGTAGTGCAAAGCAGCCTTAGCAGGGCCCACAGTCTGTGGCTCTTGCTGCAGCATAGCCTGTCCACTCCAAATTCAAATATTCCCTTAGGGCTACTTCCCATCCTGGCTAGAGACAGGAGTGCAAAAATAGCATGTTTTATGACAGCAAACTAGTATTAAAAAGGAGTACTTGTGGCAACTTAGAGACTAACCAATTTATTTGGGCATAAGCTTTCGTGAGCTACAGCTCACTTCATGCATCCGATGAAGTGAGCTGTACCTCACGAAAGCTTATGCTCAAATAAATTGGTTAGTCTCTAAGGTGCCACAAGTACTCCTTTTCTTTTTGCGAATACAGACTAACACGGCTGCTACTCTGAAACCTAGTATTAAAAGTAATCTTACATTTTCCATGGATTTTTGCAACTGTAATTTAACAATCCTTTGCTAAATGTACCTGTGTTAAATTTCCTAATAGACATTTTCACGAAAAATATAGCGATCGTTAATAAAATATTTATAACTCTTGAAATTTGTTCCTAGAAGTGGTATTCAAATAGCGCCACTGAAAAATCTGTTTTGGGTTGTCCAAGAGTGCACTTTTGTTGTGTGTTTTTATAACCACATACAATTTTAGTATCTGAGTAGGTTACCCCTGCAGTTCAATGTTACAAAATACTATTGCATGCAATCCTGTAGACACAACCAATTTTGCATTAATACACAACTGGGACAGCCCTGGCCCATTACTGGATAAGTGGTACTGTTTAACACAGCTACAGATCTCTAATACAAGGATAAAAAGACTAAATAGTTTGCTGTGGTCAATGTTGGTGGTAAAAAAGTAGTACATGAGCTTGACGCTGTCTCTCCCAAACCACCAAATCCAGTTCTTTCCAAATAAAGCTGCAGGCAAATTTAATAAGCATTTTAACAAAGACCACAGTCCAGCAAACAGAAATAGTTGTGCAATATAAAATGTACCTATGAGGCTTTCTGAAGAAAGGCTCCACATACTAAGACTATTTGTTTTTCTTTTTCTTTCACAATAACCTTGGTCAAGGTTTGATTTATTGCTGACAGGAATTCCCCTGAAACTCCCTGCTGCACCTATGGAATCCAGGAGGCAGCATCCAGCCTGACAGATCAGCACCACCCAGGTGAGGAACTGGGCGACTCCATGGCACCCGGACATGCTGACACTGGAACTTTGCTTTAAAGATTGCCAGTCAGTACAGACCCAGGAGTCAAAACAGTAGTAATGGGGACCAAAGCTCTTCTTCTGCAGGAAAGATCCTTCAGGCAGGGAAAAGGTCAGACTAGAGGATTACAGTGCTCCCTTCTAATATATTTAATTTATAAACTAGAGATATTTTCTTCCCTCACTTTCTCTCCCTCCTCATCTCTCTAGCCCCATCTATTCTACAGTGGCAATTTGCCTATTGTTCTGAAACCGTTTTCCAGAACTGCACAAAAATGGTTTCCAGGTGACTTGGTTGTGCTGGGAAATGGCCTGGTCTGGAGAAGGTTTTAAAAAAAAAAAACCAACATTTTAAAAACGTGACGGCCTGACCATCCCACCGGGCTCAGCGGCCTGACCCAGCACAGTCTAGAGGCTCAGTTCAGAAAACAGGCAACGCGCCAGCGGAGACAGGGCCCCCGCGGAGCGCGTGTGACCCAGCCACAGCCCAGGGGGCAAGGCGCCCCACAGACGGGACGGCAGCAGGCACAAGCCCGGCCCCAGGACCAGCCTGGCCAAAACCGGCGTCCGCTTTGGCGGCACGGCTACGCCCTGTCACGCCACGGAAGTACTTGGCATCTGCCTGCCCCTGCCGGGGAGCGTCTCCCTGGTCTGTGCCCCGCTCCGGGCGGCAGGGAGGGGGGTGGCTATCCCGCGCTGGGCGGTATCTTCTTCCGGGGACCCGCTTGGCTGCAGGGGCCGAGGACGCAGGGGTGGGCGGCTCCCCGTAGGGCTGTGGATGGGGCCTGGCTGCCCCTGCTCCTCACCCTCCCCACGCCCCGCTGGCACGCGCAGTGTCCCCGCCACGGCGCCACCCCGCCCCGAAGGCGGCTCCGCCCCGGCCGCGCCCTGCCCGGACCCGGCCCGCGGGGGAAAGGGCGGCTGAGCAGCGTTTCCGGGTCGCGGCGGGGCCGGGAGGCGCAGCGGGTGGCGGCGGCGCTGGGAGACGCCATGGCCCTGTGGTGGTGGCGGCGCTGCTGCTGCTGCTTCTCCCGGGCGCCCGCGTTCGGCTCCCTCCGGAGCTTGCTGGAGGCCGCAGGGCCGCGACTCGGCTGCGGGCCCTGCGCGGGGCGGGCTGCGGGGAGAGCCGAGGTGAGCGAGCGGCGCTGCGGGCAACTAGAGGTCACAGGAATGAATGGGAACCGCGGGGTGGGGCGCGGGGCGCCGGGCTAAGGAGTGTGTAGAGGGCGATGGGTGCGGGGGGCACTGGGTTAGGGGGCGTGCGGGGGGCACTGGGTTGGGGGTGTGGGGGGCACTGGGTTAGGGGGCATGGGGGGTGCGGGGGGCACTGGGTTAAGGGGTGCGGGGGACACTGAACTAAAGGCTGTGGGGTGCGGTATGGTGTGCAAGGAGCACTAGGTATGGGGCTGATGGGGTGCAAGGGGTACTGGGCTAGTAGGCTGGGGGGCATGAGGTGCAAGGTAAGGAGGGAGGAACATGTGGAGTGCAGGGCACATGCATGGTATGTCTATGGGATTCAGCAGGGGAAAGAACTATTTTAATATGTTTTATATGGTACAGAGAACAGGGATGTTCAGATGGGGGGTTGGTATGTGAGGGCTGGTGTACCAGGGTGGTGGGCAGTTTGCAGTCAGTGAAAGACACATGTGAACATGAGCAGAAATATGCTGTTTGTGAAACACATTTATAGAACATGGTAATCTCAAGCCCTCACCTTTTCTGGGAGAATGCTGGCCAGTCAGTCATGTGACAGCTTCTATTGTACCCACAATGGGGGCTGTGGGAAGCGGCGTGGGCCGAGGGACGTACCAGCCGCCGTTTCCCGCAGCCCCCATTGGCCTGCAGCGGCGAACCGTGGTCAGTGGAGCTGCGATCAGCCGAACCTGCGGACGCGGCAGATAAACAAACTGGCCCGGCCTGCCAAGGGCTTCCCCAGAACAAGCGGCTTCCCCAGAACAAGTGGCTTCCCAAGTTTGGGAAACACTGACATGGGGTGTGTGTGTGTGTGTATACAAACACACACTCTAGGTATGTCTGCATTCTAGTCACTTTAGTGGTGCCTCACCAGCTACGGTGCTATTTATACCCGTGCTAGCTGGGCGTGCAGTGTCTTGTACTCTACATGCAGTCGTAAGTGTAGACATACCCTCAAGACACTGTTGATCCCTTTAACTAAATGTGTAAATTGAGGTAGACCAGAGTTCAAGGTAAGGAGGTGGAAATGCAGAAGAAAACTGTAAAAAGTAATGTTTTCTGGTGTTCAGAATAAGTGGAATGTATTTCTTACATCTACAATTAATATAAAACTAGACTGGTTGTTTTTAAAGCAGGGTGGACTTGATTTAAATCAAATTGATTTAAATCACTAGTCAGGAAGACTCGATTTAATTATGGATTTCTACATAGAAGTGTATTCTTGTTGTTACCAACCTGAAGATCCTGCATGTTCAGACATGTTCCTTTCATCATCTTCAACTCAGCTTCCTCCTGAGAAGGAACACTTCTCATGATGATGTTTCATTCTGGCAACCAGGTCTTGCATTTCTTTGTTGCTCTGTTTGCATTTTGCACGCATGCTTTTCTTACCCACAGGTGGAGGAACTTCATTAAAATATTCCCAAACTGGGTCTCTTTTACAGCCTGCTGCCATGATAGGTTTTCCCTTCTAGTGAGAGAATGGCATGGTAGATCTCAAATCAGTGAAGGCTACACTCAGAAAGACCTCAAGACTTCTGTAATATGCTACTCAAACAGTTCCGCTTTTGTTTCTACTGCCTGTCCATCCGTTGTCACATTTATCTCCAGACTTCTTCTCCTTCTCCAGATCTATTCCACCCCTAACAATCTTCTATTCATTGAACTTTTTGAAACTTTGCACTTTGAGAGAGAGGTAAGGGATTGACTCTGTGTACACAAATTTGCAGAGGGACAATTTTCAGAGGTCTGTTGTTTCTCATCTATCTATAGTATTTATTTAAAAACATTTTTTGCTGTTAACAAGCATGTTATCTCTGGAGACACAAATCCACAGTTTGAGAACTGCAAAACTAAGCATCTCTGATGCTATCTTGTAAACTGAGCACTGAGTTCCATTGGGTAGATAGAAAGATTAACCTAAATAATCTATGCAGAAGCCCTTGGAACCCCATAACATTGGGTCCCTAATCCATGAACTATTGAAACTCGTTTACAAAACTTTTACATAAGAACATAAGAATGGCCATCCTGGGTCAGACCAAAGGTCCATCAAGCCCAGTATCCTGTCCTCCGACAGTGGTGAATGGCAGGTGTCCCAAAGGGAATGAACGGACAGGTTATCATCAAATGATCCATGTCCTGTCACCCAATCCCAGCTTCTGGCAAACAGAGGCTAGGGACACCATTCCTGCCCATCCTGACTAATAGTCATTGATGGACCTATCTTCCATGAATTTATCTAGCTCCCTTTTGAACCCTGTTATAGTATTGGCCTTCACAACACCCTCTGGCAAGGAGTTGCAGAGGTTGAGAGTGCTTTGTGTGAAAAAATACTTTCTTGTGTTTGTTTTAAACCTGCTATCTATTAATTTTATTTTGGTGGCCCCTTGTTCTTGTATTATGAGAAGGAGTAAATAACACTTCCTTATTTACTTTCTCTGTACCACTTGTGATTTTATAGACCTATATCATATCCCCCCTTAGTCGCCTCTTTTCCAAGCTGAAAAGTCCCAGTTTTAGTAATCTCTCCTCATACGGAAGCCTTCTATACCCTTAATAATTTTTGTTGCCCTTTTCTTAAACATTACTTGAATATATTATCTCACATTATAGAATTAGAATTTATAAGCCCTACTCCGTGTTGAGGTATCTTTGAGCTATAGTGTAGCTTAATTAAAACTATCTTTAGACAGGTGTTTTCCTCAAAAAGCATTTTATAAAAAAAAATCCGATTTAAATAAAGTCTGATTTTATTTTATTTTTTTTAATCATTGATTTTTATCCACCCTGTTTTAAAGTAGTTTAATAGATTAGACACAAATGCAAAGGTCCCGGTCTTGCAAACATACATACTAAACTTTAAGCCCGAGTAGTCCCACTGCAATCACAGCCTGAATTAAGCTTCTCTCAGCTTTCCTTTCCCTGCAAAGGGATGGGGGATTTTCATTTCCCCTGGTCCTTGATCCTCCTTACTATGCCCTGAAACAAGACTACTCGTGCTAAATTAAAGTCTTTATAGGGTGGGGACTTGTTGTTGGGGAAGAAGGCCCTGTAAAGGTTTTCCTATGGTTGCGTTAGGAGAACTAGGCTAATTAACCAGTGTTTTCATTACCACCTATAATTTGGGTTTGTTTAGCAAGAAAATACAGTTTACACATTTTTTGTAGTCAAAATGAAATAGGTTTTTTGTTTTTTGTTTTTTTTTAATTATGGTTGTGTTTTAGGTCCATCTCTCAAGGTCATGGTGTTGGCTTGACCCGCACTGAGAAGTGCTGCCTGTATTGACTGATTAGTGTGTGTGTGACCTGAGGTTAAAAACTAAAAAAAAAAAAAATTGCCTCCAGTGCCTCAGGTTTCTCATATAAACCACCAAATAGTCATTGCCTCTCATGGGGTGTTTTGAGGAAAACACTTAAGTAATTAGCTACGTGCACTGCTCCTGAAGTGCAATTTGGGGAGCTAGGGGAGCAAAACTTCCCTTTCCCCATCAGACATTTTGTGGCACTTACAAGGAAATGGGACACCAGTTGTCCACTGAAAGAGACTGCAATCATGGATATGCCACAGTAGGCAGCTGCTGCAACTGTAATCTGCAAATGTCCAGTGAATTGTCCTTGTTCCTCCCGAAGCGAGATCTTACGAGGGGCAGGATTCACAGCGAGTCCTGTGGCATTGGTATTTTCACCTTTAGCGGGAACTGTGCTGTTTTGAATGTTCACTTCTTGACTAGGCCTGACTTCTTTATTTTTTAACTTTTCCAGGAAGGGTGGGTGGATGGTGAGGGTTTAGAGCCTGTACAGCAGTGGTTCTTAACCTGGGGTGCACACACCCCCTGGGGGTGTGAGATGCCCTTTCTGGGAGGGCAGGACATGCCAGTTTTTTTCGAAGGTAAATCATCGAAAACACAAATTAAGCACAGGCACATAAGTACTTTGTTTAATCAATCCTATGCATTTATTAATATTATACATTTTTAACGATTAATATATAAACAAAAATATATGTAGGTTTAAAGAGCTGACCTACTTCAACGATTTTTGATAAGGGGTGCGAGAACATATTTTGGGAACCAAAGGGGTGCAGGCTGCGGTAAAGGTTAAGAACTACTGTGGTACAGTATTCTTTCTTGCTCCCTGTGCACAAGGAATTAAGGTAGGAGGCACACTGAATTAAAACCTCTTTAGGGGAAAGCAGAGGATGCACACCTTTTTTTATTATTTTTATTATTATTATTAGTGTAGCGGTTCCTGGAAATACCAACGTGGGTCATGCCAGCCACTCTTGTCCTTGGGCAGCTCAACACAAATCTACCTGCAACATAATGAGCTATTGAAAGGAGGCTGTGCCTCCCCTGAGTGTAT